TTGCATATCTAAATTCGAAAGTTCGGACTCATAACATTCCGAAGTTAAACATAACCAACTCTCGGTCACAAAAAGATCCTAATGACAAAAGCTATGAGCAAAGTTTCTTAAATTAAATTAACATATAAAATTCACCTATAAATAATTACTCCCAGAATATCCAAGATGCTCTAAACAGAGGCATCATCGTAATGTTTCAAGGCAGTATGTCTTAAGACTTTTGTAAGATTTGTAGGCGGAAAATATTGGCATGTTATGAGATTTACTCAAAATTAGATGTATGAACAGAGAAATTGCAAATCACTTAAAAAGAAGTGAGAATAAAGTATCTAGGAATAAGCTAAGATAACAATTTAACGCCCTGGAAGCCTAATATAAGTGTGTTCAATCATTTTAAGTTATCATTTTATAATTGAATAATTATATAAGATTGATACTTTTGCAGTTATGGAAAGAAAAAATTTGATATGTCTGGTGGAAAATCTTGTACTCAAGATGCGTCAAGACATTTGAATGAGCATCAAATCGAAATTTTTAAGAAAACAGGATTTTCAAGTTATATTTTAGCAATTGTTAAAAAAAAAAATAAATGAAGGCATTTACGCCAATAGATCCCTAATAAATACATCGCTCTTCTTTCATAATTGTACTTCATACTTAATTGAGTTGTCACATGTAAACATTTAATTGGAAATTCTTGTTAATTACATAAATGCTAAGTGTAAATAACAATAAATTGTGTAGAGATTGACCCAATTTCAACGATATCGGGCACCAAGATCAAGATAGATGGCAGATTGACTCAACTTTATGCTAGCTGAAAAAAGTATTAGAAGTTATATATTCTAACTAGCGATGAACAGAGAAAAACAAAAAAATTTGATATAGGTTGGTAAAGTGTGTACCTTATATTATATACTTAAGGACATTCAGGATACGCTGGAAGTCGCTAATGAGGTCGGGAGTAAGGAATTTTTCAATATTAAATCAGAAAACAAAACCTTTATTAAATTCATGTGGTACTGTCGTACTAGTATGTGTAATCATATAACATATTGTCATTCTTTCACCATTGGTGCATTACATCTGATATTCAGTTGGAGAAAAGTTGGTTAATCATTCCAAATTTGGATTCCAAAGATTAATGTTTAACAATTGACATTAATTTATAACACTCTAGATATTTTGACATAGTAGAAAGATTATTCTGAAATTAACAGCTGTTTTATATGATTTCAAAAATAAAAAAGTTTGATTTGGTTCCATATGTGACAATCAGATGTTAATGTGAACATTTTAATTCGATTAGTTTATTTACAAACAACCACAAAAATTTTAGATCACACTAAAAATATTTGATTGCGCAATGAAATTTGACAGATTGAATACTGATATATTAATCGAAAATGAAGTAAGTGTATATATGCAGCTTTTATACAGATTTAGCATTAATTTTGAAAGTACACTAACTATCTAAGTAACGAGTGTATTTCCTTTAAAAATATGTATATTATTAAAAAAACATTCGAGCTATTTCGTGAATTAACATATAATTTTTAAAAATTCAAATTGTAGTTTTTTGTACGGTCAATTTGGCATATACATTGTAACTTGGCAACTCTGCTTAAGACATGTTGTATGAAAACATTTTCCAGTTTTCTTTGCGGTCGCATTGTGCATTTTGTTGTGCTCGAAAGAGGACGTGTTGGTTCCGCGAGACGTTACTTTAAAAAACAACAACAACGAAAATAAACTTGTTACCGTTAACAACATAATCAGCAAAAAAAAAACAGTATTTTGTATATAAATTTAATAAAACTAAATCAAAGTTTTAATTTATGTGATTTCATTTACTCTTAATTTTTATTTTCAATTTGTTTTATTTGTGTGCAAAAATAATTCAATGATTTTGTATTAAGTGATTCCCTCCAAATTTGTTTGCTGCATCAGTAAAATAAT